GAGACAATCCAAACATGTGGGAAACAGATCTGCAAGGGAAGGGGCTTGGCCAACAGGAGGTGAGAGGGGTGCTCTCTCCTGCACTGCTCCCCCCCTTCCCACGAGTGACCGCCCCGGGGAGAGCGCGCTGGGTCTGCGCTGTTCACCGCAACACGGGCCAGCAGGCTGGCGGCTCCCTCTGTCCCTCCCAAATAAGATGTAAACACGGAATCCCTGCCTCGGGCTCTGCTTGCTGGAGGGAGAGCTGGGGCACCCTCCTCAAATGGCCGTTCTTCAGAAATGAAAGGCAAAGATAACATAAACACAGCTACTGGATTTGAAGTGTACAGTGACGGACTCGTAAGGTAAAATAGTGAGTCCTGCATTAAACAAAACGAATCTTGGCCTTCATGACTGGCTTGTAATACCCTTCAATGTCCTAACGGTAAAACGTGCCCTACACACTGACTACAGCCTCTCTCCAAAAGGAAGCCCCGAATACCCATAACCGTATCACTGCTAAGTGACTAAATGTGCATCTCTGCCTTCCAATTATAAATGGAACAAATACTATTGTGCTATATCTCTTGAAATGCAATGATCTGTTGTGCAAATCAGAGGCCCCCGCCCACCCCCAACACCAGCTCAGGTCCCCGGACAGGACAGGTTATTGATAATCGCTCACTATCCATGAATAAACACAATCCCAGTTTTTGGGGAATAGGATGAACTTTTAGTGAGAATACAGCATTTTCTGAAACAGTAGAAGACAAACAACTTCCTGACAGCAGAACCCCTCCCTAGGGTTTTGGGGGCCTGAGCGCAGGGCCACCCCGCACGGCGAAGCGCTCTGGAGAGCCGCACACACGGGGCTGGCGCTTCCCCGAGTCCCTAACGGGCAGGCTCTGCGGCCACAGTGGAAACAACGCTATCCATTAACACCCACTGAAACTTCCTGTCAGCCGCCTGGCCTAACACTATTTCTTAAATAATCTATGCTTCCTCCAGTGATTTAAACGACCACTCTGCCATAAATCTGACCTATATTCAGCCTGCGTGTGACTGCCCCTTCCTGGTCATCTCTCCTCCCTTGCCCCCTCCCGGACTCCGCGTCTCTCTGCGGGCTCCCTCCTGGAGGCTTGCCCCGGGTGCTCTCCTGCAGTCTCAGGACTTCACTTCTCTCACGATAATAGAGAGGAGTCCTGGGTCGCCACCTGTGGTCGTGCAGGTTGGTCACTGCACAACAGTGTCAGGCCGAGCGGGCACGTGGGGGTACAATCCATTCTGCTCTCTGCTTGCCAAGTGGTGCACCCACAGAGCTCCCCAGATTCCCATCTCTAGCCCAGCTGTCCCAAGTCACAGACCCATCCACCCAAGCACATGCTAGCCATCTCTTCCGGAAAGTCCCCCAAGGAACCACACACTCAACACGGCTTCGGCGTCCTCCTCCCAAGCCCGTCCCTGCCTCGCGCCGTTCTCATCGCATGGCTGCGGCACACGAGGCAGAGAACTCGGAGGAGCTGGAGCGTTCTTCTTGCCCTGACTTGAAGCCTCCTGTCTGACAGATCCTACCTCCTCCTCTGCAGCCACAGCTGCACACGCGGAGCTGACCTCATTACTTCGCTCTCATTTAGCCTGCCGGGCCCTGCGCCTGCCGTCCTTAAACCCGTCCCTCTGCTGCACAAGCAATCTTGCCACAGTATTCCGATCCTGTCACACCATCGCTCTGGATCCTACCATAGCGTTCCTCTGCCCACAGGGCCACGACCCAGCTCCTCAAAGTGTCTCAGGGGGTCTTCCGCAGGCCAGACCCCTAGCCACCCCCTCACTTCTCTGTTCTTTACCAAATACTTCAGCCTTTCCTGGCCGACTCGCCTGGGCTCATGCAGTGACCTCAGCATGGAATCCCTGGGTCGAGCGCCCCCTCTTGGAAGACTGTTTGATACCCAGATAAAGGTGACGACTTCTTTCTTTGAGCCCCTGATTCCCATGTGAACACCCACAAGGCTTATTGGTTTCTGTGTGTCTCTGACTCCATTAGAACCGCAATCTTTGAAGGCGGAGATGGCCTCTCTTCGGCTTTTGTATCCCCCCAGCCCAGCCAAGGACCGTGACAATCCCTGTCCATAAAATCCCTGGATTTGAGAATAAGCAGATTAGCCAGAGCAAGGTCCTACAACTGTGACCTGGGCTTTAGTGATGTCTGCCTGTGGTACAAACACGAGGGCAGAATGCCTGCCGTGCCCAGGCGCCCTCTGCGACAGAGGTGATCAAGACTGAGGGAGACGCAGCATTTGGGGAAGAGGTGGGCAGGGCAGGGCACTGGTGGCATGTGCGTCCTGGGCAGTGGTGCAGGCCTCTGGCCCGACTCCCGGCGGGAGAGACCCGAGCGCTGGGCAGAGAGCTGGGCACAGCAGGCTGAGTTGGGAGGGGACACAGGAGGTCAGACAAGTGCGGGCGAGAGAAGAGCAGGTGGCGATTCTGACAGGCACTTCACTGCAGAAAGGCAGTCAGGTCACAGACTTAGGAGGCAGCCCGGCAGCCAAACAAAGGCCGCCTAGGCAAGGAGTCCAGAGAAGAACCAAAGGGACAGAGGACTTCTCATTCCCGTAGACGAAGGAGCAAAATCCTTAACACGACGTTCAAGGTGGATATAATCCCTCCAAACACCACTGGCTCTTCGCTAACAGGAAGGTACTGCCCACTGGCCACCCTTTCCTCATCCTTCCCATCTGAAATGAAGGGTACTACCTCCTCCAGGAAGCCCCCCCTGACCTCGCAGGGTCTCAAATGAGTTTGCTCTCACAACACCCTGGGCTTCTCCTTCATAGTCTTGCTCAGAATTGTAATCAAATATGTATTCATTTAAATTCTGTTTCCACAATGAGAAGAAGTACTTTGAGGGCAGGGACTGATTCTTCTTTATTATTATATCCCTAGCATTCAGCACCCTGCCTGGAACGTATCTGAAGCCAAGTGTCTGTTGAAGAAGCAGTTCAATCAATCAAACAGATACAGAATGAATTAAATACCATGAATACCACTGGCATGCATCTAGAATGCAAGGCCAAGGAGCCTACTACACAGCTATCTTTGAAAATGGGTTAGGCTGAAATGCACCAGTATAGATAGTCCATTGTCACAGCAGTTTCTAAAACAACACTGATAGTTTTCCCCAATTAATTAGAAAGAACAACCCTACATGTGTTTAAAAGGTGAAAAAATATAAATATCTGGAAAAAGATGTGTGCTAAATAGCTCCAGGGTCCTGGACTAGGGATTTTTAATTTTTATTTTAAATACTTCTGGAACTCCCTCAATTTTTTACCAAGAATATACTATTCTCGAATTAAAACACACACACACATGCTGATTGTAGGAAGTCACTTTTACCCCTGGCACAGACCCAACCTCCTGATGATCTCGGGATCATCTGGTCCAATTTCTGCATTTTGGGGAGCTACACAGAAACACACTTTCCTCTGAAACATCAAAGTCTGATAACACTGCAAAGCTGCTCGTGTGGTTGTTTTGAGGAAGCTTAAGATTAGAAAAGTCAGAAATAGACCTACTTCCCTTTTCCTAGAAACCGGGGTTACCCATTCAACTAGAACACCCCTCTGGGCGCGGCAGGCCGGGTTGCCAGGGTTACCAACAAACTAGCAGCTGGAGTGGCAGCTGCCAGCTGCTCCCTGTAGACAGTGGCTGGTTCTCCTGGCACCAGGACCCCTCCAGGTGCGGGCTCATAATCATCAGCCGTGTTGATGGTCCCGTGGGTGGGACGAGGTGGCCATAGACAAGGGACGTGAGAAGCCAAGTCTGAGCCAACAGGCAGACTGCAGGTCCTGCCTGAGCACACGCATCCGTGATCCCTACCAAAACGAACTTTCTGTGTTTCTAACCTTGCTCCCTCGTGGGGTTTCCCTGGGGAGTCAGGAAGGTCAGCTGTAAGCTGGTTTGCTCTGCCCTGCCCACGACCACAGGCCTGCCACCTGCTCTTGCTCACCTTGCTGTAGTCACCTGCTACACCCCCTTCACCCTGCAGTCAACATCCTGGCACCTGGAGTCACCGTGAAGGCCCAAGAAGCCCACAGTAATCAGGGTCCTGGAGGTGCCGTCCTACCTCTACTCAGAAATGCGCATGGAACCGCGTTATCTGTTAGAATAAATAACCCGTAAGTAGCCCCAGTGTTTCCCAAAGAACATGCCAAGGAAATGCCAGGCAGTGATGATCCAGGTGAGAGCTAGAGGTGCGGTGGGGAAGGTAGAAAAACTGCACACCTGTGATGCCTGTTTGGGAATTTCTGTATCATTCAGTACATGCAAAACCGCAAGATGTCACGCATAGCTCAACCTGTTCAACTTTAATTAATTAATTTATTTTATCCTTACCCGAGCATGGAGATATATATATCCATATAGATATATATATATATCTATATGGATATATATATATTTGCATTTATCTTCAGGTAGAGTGGGAGGGAGAGAGGAAAGAAGAGAGAGAGAGAAACATCGACGTGAGAGAGACACATCGACGTGAGAGAGACACATCGAGTGGTTGCCACCCACACGACCCAACCAGGGCCGGGGACAAACTACAACCGAGGTACGTGCCCTTAGCGGGAACCGAACCCAGGACTCTCTGGTTCACGGGCTGGCGCTCTAACCGCTGAGCCAAACTGGCCAGGGCTGTTCAACTTGATTTAAACTAGCTGTTGACCACAGAACCCTTCGCGATCTCAATTTGAAAAGCACAGTTCCACAGCATGAGGTTGGGTTCAGCAAACACGCCTGAAAGGCTGTCAGGATCCAGGGGTATGACCCCGACCGTGAAGGGCAGGCTTCCCAGTCCAAGCTCAGACCCGCACCTCCAGCATGTGGGGAAAGCAGCCTCTGAGATCGATTTCTGCAGAAAACGTCTACGAAGCAGGAGGTAGAGGAGGGAGGAGAAAACCTGGCCCTCCAGAGAGACAGAAGCCCGGGGGCTGGTGCAGGCTGCTTCCCAGAGGGGGACTCACCATTGGTGGTTGTGTTGACATAGTAACGCCGGCCCTGGGGGGACAAGTAGCTTTGCCAGCCCGGTGGAAGGATGACGGTCTGGCTTTCCTCTCCCGGCGGAGGGGGGACCATTCCAGGCTTCTGTGGAGGAGGAAAGACAAGGTCACACACATTTGGCATTTTTGCGGCTACTTTTCAACCAGGAAGTCAGAGGCAGATGAAGTCACCCTGGAATATCTCGACGTCGGGGCGTGTGGCCCACAGGCCTCCCCAAGGGAGGTCACAGGCCACATGTGTGTGATTTTGGTGGTCAGCAGAGCGTGAGGTGTGAGGAGCGCCGGGCTGCCTTTTTCAGACCTACTGCGGAAGAGACAGGTTCCTCTCGAGGACAGAAGGACGTGTCCGTCAGTTAACAGAGCTGACCTTTCTCCTCTGTCAACCCCTAGAAAACCAGTCACAGGGGTGCTGCAGTTCCTGGGGGCTGCACTTCACGCATAAAGTCCCGGGGACCACGGAGCCCAGTGGCAGACAAGGTCCAGGGCCCGCTGTGGGAAGCCACCAGAAGTCATTAACACAAGTCTGGGCAGAGCCAGCAGTGAACTTTCTATAATGACGCCCAGAATCGAAGAGCGAGGTGGATATTTTCCAAGTGTCCAAATCACTCTGGCAGAGAGAGCTGCAAATCTGAGACAAAACACAGACTGCCCTTCCGTCCACGCCCTTATTTGCAGTTCTTTTAACCAGGCACACAGATCATTTCTTTTAAGAAAACCAGAGAATGATGCTCGGAACACAGAGAAACAAGGCAGAGACAGACGCCAAGGCAGGTGCTTCCCAGCCGTGGATTCGCGGCAGTTTGTCTTCCCTTTTTTTACTTAACTCTACCATCTAGATTTTCTTCAATAAACACAAAAATAAAAGTTGTTAAAGAACATTTAAATATAAGAAAACAGGGTCCAAATTAGCTCACAATTTCTGTGCCTTGTAAAGAAAGGAAATGGACTACAGAGGGGTTCTAGCCTCAGCCGGACGGGAGCTTGATGTTCTTGGCGAAGCGGGACCCCGTGCGGAAATATTAAGAGTAATCAGCTCCGCCCTGGCCGGTGTTGCTCAGCGGTTAGAGCGTCGGCCTGCGGTCCCGAGAGACCCGGGTTCAGTTCCCACTAAGGGAATGTACCTTGGTTGCAGTTTGTCCCCGTCCCTGGTTGGGTCGTGTGGGTGGCAGCCACTCAATGTGTCCCTTTCACGTCGAGGGACTCCCAGTAAACACGGCCTCCCCGTGGCCCTTCGTGTATGTTTCATTGTGACCTTTCACAATTTAATTAAAAACCTTCCTCTCTGCCCTGCGCGCTGCTGTCTCCCACACCGTGAACGGCAGTGCCCCTTTGATTCCGTAGGGAAGACTGGCTTCCAAACTGCCAAGTTCCAGGGTGACGAACGGCAGCCAGGCGGGGCCCCTTCTCCCCCGCAGAGCATGTCTGCTGAGCCCAGCACACACCTGAGCACGTCTCCCTGGCTCTCCAGACACTGCTCGGGCCCCTCCCAGATCGGAAGATGGTCAAATACACCAAGACAAATAGCCTGATGATGCGTGCAGCGTGCGAGTGTGTGTGTGCGCGAGTGTGGTGTGTGTGAAACACCCCACATGACAGGATATGCACACTGGGGCTGAGTAGGGTTGGGGTGAAGGAGCAACAGGGATGTCAGGGGGCCTGACTGAAGGAAAAACACTCCAGAACCAGGGAGCCTCTGCCTGGGTCACAGCACTATGATGGGGAGGCCGGGGTTGTCGAGGACCTGGGAGGAAATGGGCCACTGTGGGCGGGCGTTAAGCAGGGTCAGAGACGGACATGGCCACACCAGGCTGCCGAGGAGAGAGCGACCCGGAGCACAGTGAACGCGGCCCTCCAGCCTGGGCTCAGCCCGACTTGGCCACTCAGTAGCCCGTGTCCAGGAAAATGACACACGGGCTGCGTCTACTTCGGCCTCTATAAAGAGGAGGATTATCAGCCCTGCTGTGGGATTGACAGTAAGAAACTCAGCGCCTAGGGAGCGCCTGTAACCAAAAGTGCTCAAGAAATGGGGTTTCCAGGAGAAGGGGGGCTGCCCAGGTGCCACGTGTGACCACTGCCTGCTGTGGGGTGGGGTGGCGTTCACCATCACCGTGTGTAAAATGTCTCCACTAACAGTCCCTTCCTTCTCCCAGGGCCTGTTTCCAAGAGGACCTGACGTAAAAGGCCAACACGGGCTTGCTGGGGAGGTTGCCGCGGTCAGACGCCGGCCGCTGCGTTCTGGGGAAAGGGCTGGGCAGCGAGGAGGGCTCTCCCCGGCGGGCTGCTCGGGTGGACGGACACTCTGAAGCACCGTGTCCACCTGAGGAGTAAGGCGACACCTCTCCCAGCTCCACACCTGCGTGGTGCTTTTCTCTTTGGAATGGCTCTGGTTAATTTGTCTAAATAAGCCTGTGGGCTCAGAAAACGCTCTGGTTTACACTTGAGGACCTTTGAGGACGGCTCTGCGGTCTCCCGATCTGGGACAGGCAGGACCCACCATCTTTTCTTTCTTTTTTCTTTTTTTATCCTTACCAGAGGATATTTATCCATTGTTTTTTTGTTTTTTGTTTTTTTTTTTTTTTAGATACAGTGGAAGGGAGGGAGACAGAGGAAGAAAAAGGGAGAGAGAAAAACATCGATGTGAGAGAGACACATCAATTGGTTGCCTCCCGCACGACCCCAACTGGGGCCGGGGATCGAACCCGCAACTCAGGGAACCTGTGACCCTTCAGTCCATGGACTGACACTCCAACCACTGAGCCAAACTGGTCAGGGCAGGACCCACCATCTTGAACACTATAGAAGGTGCCTGTGGGGGAGGCACCCGACACTCAGCCAGGATGGGCCAAGAGGTGCTGAGGGCGTGGAGGAGAGCACCCAGGACAATTCCCTAATTTGTCCAGCGTGGGAAAGGTGGTTTCCACATCCCCCTCCAGCTCGGCCATGGGCCCCCGCTCTGCCCGCCACCTGACTGCTTTGCCCCCATCCCCCAGGGCAGCCCGCCCCCTTGCCTGTCCCCTCTCCCAGAAGGAAGTCATTCCTGCCGGCTGGACTGAAACAAGTCAGGAGTTAAAAGATGTGAAGTCAACGGGGCACATGCCCAAGCGAAGCGGAAAGAGCACTCGAACACTTGTACGCCCATGTTCAAGCATCATCTGCAACCACCAAAGGCAGAAACGGCTCGAGCGTCCGCGAACCGACGCAGGGACAAGCACGGTGTGATGATGTATGCATGCAAACAACACTCAGCCGTCCAAAGGGACGAGGTCCTGATGCACGCTACAGCACGGACGATCCCTGATCACGCCACAGGAAATAAGCCAGACACAAAGGCCACGTTTTGGAAAGAGTCCATTGATATCCAGCGTCCACAAGAGAAAAACCCATAGACACGGAAAGCAGATTCGTGGTTGCCGGGGGCCGGGGGCAGGGTTTCCTTTTTGGGGCGATGAAAATGCTTTGGAACTAGTCAAGGTGGTGCTTGCCCAAAACTGTGAGTGTCCTAAAGGCCACTGATGAGAGATTTTACGTTAGGTGTATCTTACCACAACAGACATTTAGCAGAAAGATGGAGACAAGGCAGAAGTTGGCCCCCAAGCCCGGGCTCTCTCCGAAGAGGCCCAGCGCACCGGCCTTACCTTACCCTTCGTGGCGGTGGAGGTGCCGCCTCCTGGGAGAGCTGCCCCAGACCGCGGAGAGGGCAGAGCAGGATAACTACCCAATAATTAAGGTCTCGGCCCAACTTATTCTTCTAATTAGTTTCCTTCCAAGTTAAATCCTCCCCTTCCCTTCCTTAGTCCTCTGGCTTCTCCCTTCTACCCGTCAGCTCTTCCCCATGGGAACGGGACCGAAGGCAGGGGTGGCACAGGCCCTCCCTACCAGCAGCCAGGTCAGCGCGAGTGGGAGTGAGCGGGGAGGAAGATGCTGTCCTCAACCCAGGAAGTCTTAACCCAATTCCCAGGTCGGCTCCGTGGGAGTCAGAAAACGCCGCCTCTTCCCCTGGACGGGCTGTCCCCAGGGTGCAAGGCTGGGTCGCAGCCTGCCCGGGCCCCCTCACTGGGGTCCCCTTGTTCGGTAAACACCCTGCTCAGCTCCATGTGGAAACCTACCCTCTGAGAACCTGAGATAAGCTGGATCTTCTGTCCCCGACTTGGAGCCATGCACGCGCGTACACTCACCCCATTTCCTCGAGAGGCTCCGAGCCCACCCAGAACCCCAGTCTAACGTGTACTCAAGAGAAGTCTGCACTCAGATCCCATTTCCGCTCATCGATAGTGGTTTGGATCGCTCACCAAACGCCTGTCAGCGCACCAAGGGCTGGGTCAGGTGCTTCCCACACTTATTTCCTATCTTTACTATAAGCCTGGCACACGTACGCCATTTTCCCCATTTTTAAGATGAGGAATCCGGGACTCAGAGAATCTAATAACTTGTCCCATGGTGCACAGCGAATGATTGATTTTGTTTGTTTGTGTAGAGAGAGAAAGAGATAGAACCGTTAGTGGGAGAGTGACCGGCTGCCTCCCGCAGGCCCCTACCAGCGACTGAGCCCGCAACTCAGCCTGCGCCCTGACCAGGGATCCAACGGGCAACATTTGATACACAGACACCCAACCGAGTCCCACGGGCCAAGGTGTACAGCCAATTAGATGATAAAACCAAACTGTAAAATAATAGCTTTGTTCCAGATACTTCCATCCAGTTCCCTGGAGCGAGGCCCGCCCCCCCATGCCCCCCCTGACCACCTGACACCCCAGCTCCCACCCTGTGAGGACGACACTCGGGCCTGCTTCTCCTGCCTGTCACCGGCTCCAAGTGCGCACACGCCTTCCCAGGAGACCTGCAGAAATATCACCACCCACATCCGAGCAGTCACGTTCCCTGGCTGCACCGATGCCCTGCTCGCCTTATGTAAAACAACACAACTAAAGAAACGGTCCTTTTAATGATGGCTACTGATTACCCCCTGGGAAGCAAAGGGAAGTCACCCAGATGTTAAAAGCAATCCCCCTTTTGCAGCGGTGTTTCTCAAAGTGTGATCCCTGGGCCACCTCATCAAGCACCTGGGATGTGGGTGAAAGTGCAGAT